TGGATAGCTAGGATTACAGGCATGAGCCACGGGTGCCTGCCTGAAGAGCTTAAGCGCCACAAACATCAGCCTCCTAAGTCTTCAGGTGCTTTTCCTAGCTCCCTACTCCCATAATCTAAACTACATAATTAACCTCATACAATTCTGACTTATACTTTTCTCACTTTGCGTAATACCCATGCCATGAAGTATTCTTAACCTTTTTTTTCTTTTTGCCAGTCCTGGGGTTTAAACTCAGTCGTTGAGCTTCTTTTGTTCAAGGTTAGCACTCTACCGCTTAACCCACAGGGCTACTTCTGGCTTTTTCTGTTTATGTGGTACTTGAGGAATTGAACCCAGGGATTCATGTATGCTAGGCAAGCACTTTATCACTAAGCCACATTCCCAGCCCTAACCTTTTTTTTTTTTTTAAAAAAGGATATAATAGACTTTAATTTTGTCATATTTTAAGCCCGTTTTTGTTAAATATGTTATTCCCAAATGTTTGCTAACATGATTTGATGCACAGGAACTTTTTTTTTTTTCATGGTTTGGGATTGTTTCCTAGATCCAACTTTCAGGGCCAGAACTGCCTGCTAATCTCCTCTCCTGTATGAATGGCTCAGCTTTTTTAGCCTCCTTAAGTGTGGTCAAGTTGCTATTACCAAGCCATTAAAGACCTCAATCACAATCTATAGATTCACTCATCTCAGGTCTATACCATACTGTGTGAACCCTAAAGCTAGTGCTACCTTCACAGTCTGAGATATGTGTGTGTGTGTGTGTGCAGGCACGTGCATGTACATGTGTATATATGCTGGTACTGGGGCTTGAGCAGAAAGCCTGGTTACTGTCTCTTAGCTATGTGCTCAAGTCTAAAGCTCTACTATTTAAGACACAACTTTACTTCTGGCTTTTTGATGATTAGAGGTAAAAGTCTCAAAGACTTTTACTGTCCCATCTGGCTTCAAACCACCATTTTCAGATCTCAGCCTCCTGAGTAGTTATGATTACAGGCATGAGCCACTGGCACCCAGCTCAGCTTGGGATCTTTTGTTTGTATTGCTTATGCCTAGTATCTTAACCCAGACCTGGGACTGAGTCTAAATCAGCTTCTATAAACCCGAGGCCAACTAGCTGTTAAGACAGACTTGATCTGAAGAAATGGAGGTAGTTTTTCTCAATTCCCATGTGATAATACAAAGGCCATTATATCTCTAAAATCTCTACTGTAAGGTGTGGGGAATGGAGGTCTTACCAAGCAACATCGTAAATGGTCCTGGAGTGGAAGCCAGACAAAGTGCAGATACATTTCCAACTGGGGTCAGTGCCGCTGGTTGCCACCCCTGCATGACAGACTTCTCTTAAGCCCAAGACATTGTCTATGTCCTGGGCACATAGTTTTGTAGCTACTCCCCTCCCTCAACCCATCTTCAAACAATCATGAGCCCTTATCTCCAACCCTGTCCCCATCCTCCTCCTCTTATGTCACACACTATGGCAGACAATTCAAAGAAGCCTCCCATTCTCCTGCAGGTTATTATCAAACGAGCTCTGTATTTTTTGTTTGTTTTTGGTCAGTTGTGGGGCTTGAACTCTGGGCCTGCATGCTGTCCCTCAGCTCTTCAGCTCAAGGCCAGCACTCTACCACTTGAGCCACAGTGCCACTTCTAGCTTTTTCTGCTTATGTGGTGCTGAGGAATCAAATCCAGGGCCTCATGCATGCAAGGCAAGCATTCTACCACTGAGCCACTTCCCAGCTCCTTTACTGGGAATCTTGTGTCAAACTTGTCTTGTTAAAATCCTACATACCCTCTAAAATTTGGAATGAAATGCTCTGTCTGAGTTCTTCCAGTACTCTTATCTGAAGCCCTCTTATGTCACATTTATTTATTATCAGTCATGGGGCTTGGACTTAGGGTCCTGGCACTGTCCCTGAGCTCTTTTGCTCAAAGCTAGCACTCTGCCACCCACCCAGCTCCACTTCTGATTTTCAAGTGGTTAATCGGAGATAAGAGTCTCTCAGCAACTTTTCTGTCCAGGCTGGCTTTGAATCTCGATCCTCAGATCTCAGCCTCTTTAGTAGTAGGATTACAGGTATGAGTCACCAGTGCCTGGTGACATGTTATTTTTAATTTGCTGTGACTAAAGAGTATATTTTAATGGGGGAATAGTGTCATTTAGCTCTACTATTGGACACTCACCTTGTTCGTTCCCTGGTAGATATTGGCGCCAAATGCGCACAGTACGGTCATCACTGCAAGATGCCAGGCGCTGGCCACTGGGGTCAAAGGCTAAGCTCCATACAGTAGATTCATGGCCCTCAAGGGTAGCACAGCAGACCCAGTCATCTTCTTCTTCCTGGTATAGCTTCACTGTGTCATCATAGCTGGCAGAGGCTAACAGCTGTTAAGAGGAGAGGAAAGAGACCCAGCACTTGTCTGTATAGCCTAGGAAGTAATTGTTTCCAATACAATTTTTTTTTTTTTTTTTTTTTTAGCTTATGTTATACAGAGAGGGATTTCACTGTTAAATGTCCACATTAGGGGACTTTTCAGTCATAGAGATAGAGTCCTTTAAAAACCAACTTCAGGCTTTAGAAGATGAGAAGTTAACACAAGCTTCTACAGCAGAGTTCCTGTCTATCAACAAATCTAATCTAACATTTTTGCATGTGCCACTACTAGAGCTTGAACCTGGGCCTTACACCCTTGCTCAGCTTTATTTTTGTTAGAGTTCTATATACCATTTGAGCCAGTTCTGGCTTTTTGCTCCAACTGGAGGTAAGAGTTTCATAGATTGATATGGCCAGGATGGCTTCTAACCTCTATCCTCAGATCTTAGCCTTCAGAATAGCTAGGATTATAGGCATAAGCCATAGGTGCTTGGCTTTGGCCTTTTTTTTTTTTTTTTGTCTGTTGTGGGGCTTGAACTCTGGGCCTGAGCACTGTCCCTCAGATCTTCAGCTCAAAGAGGAAGCTCTACCACTTAAGCCACAGCACCACTTCCAGTTTTCTGAGTGGCTTATTGGAGATAAGAGTCTCACGGACTTTTCCTGCCCAGGCTGGCTTTGAACCACGATCCTCAGATCTCAGCCTCCTGAGTAGCTAAGATTATAGGCATGAGCCACCGGTGCCAGGCCTTGGCCTCTCTTAACTTACCTCCTGGGTGGGATGCCAAACCACATGCTTGACATCCTGTGTATGGGAGTTGAGCACACTGACACATTCATATTCATCCTCTTCATCAACTGTAGGAGAATGTAAGAAAGGGACAGACTAGGTGACCTGTCAAGGACTTAGAGAGGGGTTTCTGTGAGCTGGTTATCAATACCATGAGGGACCTGGACTTACCTTCCCAGACCCACACACTCTTATCTCGGCTGCAAGTGGCCAAGAGGTTGCCAGATGGGGCCCAAGCCACTGACTTCACCTCATTTTCATGGCCCTCAAGAGTGGTTACACACTGAAAAAGAAAAGGGATAAGAATTAATGGCAGCTGAGACTCCTACAATTTACCCAGATCTAAGGTCATGAATTCCACAGTGCAAAAATTTAAGTGAAGGCTATATATAGTCTTCCCACAGGTATAGCTCAGCTGGCCCAGGTTGGCTCAAGTTCCTAAGCCAGCCCTGGGAAGCAACCACAATGACAAAGTCTCATCCAGCCTGGTTACCTCAAAATCATCCTGGCTCTTCTTCCAAATACAAGTGGTAGCATCAAAGCTGGCAGAGGCCAGGTAATTCCCACAGGGAGACCAAGCAACTTTCCGAACAGTACGCTGGTGGCCTTCAGAAAGAACAGACTTGCAGATCCAGCTGTCACCTACAGGCAGAGGACAAGCCAGGCTGTGGAGCTCGGTGCATGGGAAGGTGCTGAAGTACCATCAATGCCATTCAATCACGAGGGATAAAATTAGAGGCCAACATAGGGATCATGTTTCATTGGTGTATTCAGTAACATAGAATAATGTCACTGACTACTTCCTTTGGAGGCACCTTTCTAAAACAAATCAGAAAAATCACTCTCCTAATTTATTTTATTTTTATTTTTTTTTTGTCGGCCATGGGGCTTGAACTCTGGGCCTGGGCGCTGTCCCTCAGCTCTTCAGCTCAAGGCGAGCGCTCTACCACTTGAGCTACAGCTCCACTTCCGGTTTTCTGGTGGTTTATTGGAGATAGGAGTCTCACGGTCTCTCCTGCCCGGGCTGGCTTTGAACCGCGATCCTCAGATCTCAGCCTCCTGAGTAGCTAGGATTACAGGCGTGAGCCACCAGCGCCCGGCTCCTAATTTATTTTAAAAGAAAACTTTCAATGACTTCCAAAAGCCACCAATTTCTCTGTAGGCTGTTACCTTCCTGTTCCCGTTTCTCTGCCTCAGCAAGGATCCCAACTCCCGCAACGATCCCAGCCTATGTACTGCTGCCGTTTCCGGTACTTACAGACTGCATCCCTGACAAACCCTTCTCAAGGTGGCTCAGGTCCCGCCCTAAAGTCGCTTCTCCCACGTCACTCAACACGACGCGCGCGCGCGGAGACCTCGGCACCAGAGGATAAACTATACTCGACCTTACCCTCGGTACCCCAGATGCGGATTCTACGGTCGCCGCCACAGGAGGCCAGCAGGGTCCCCGTGGGGTTCCAGGCCAGGAACCAGCAGCGGGAGTCTGGGTGCGCTGGGACACGGCTCAGCAGCACCAGCGAGTCTTTCATGGTGGCCGGCACTGCGTGAGGAAGAGGTAGGCACGAGTCAGCGTACCGACGGCGGGTCCCACCAAACCTGTCGCCGCTGCGGCCACCGGAGTACCCAGCTTCCGCCCCGGATCGTCCTGGGAACTGAAGCGCCCGCTGCTGTGGCCGCGCAGCCTTCTGGGAGTTGTAGTCGCTACCCTCCGCCCTGTAGCTGGGAGCGCCTCAGGACCGCCTCGAACTACCAGTTCCGTAAGACCCGGAGAAGGGAGCCGGCGGCGCGCGCAATGTGTGACGTACGCGGGGAGGGGGACGGGGCGGGGAGCCGGAGGAGGCGGAGGCAGAGGAGGAGGAAGCCGGAAGTGCATCGGCCGGGGTCGGTCTGGGCGTTGCGGGATTGGGGCCTGGGATTGCTCGGCCCCGGGTAGCTGAGGAGCCCGTGACGGGGCGGAGCGGCGCCATCCCAGCTCTGAGGCCTGCTGACCGGTGAGGAGCGAGTGCCCGAGTGGAGAGGGTCTTTTCTTTACACAGGTCGCATCCCAAAGTACCGGTCCCGGGTCCCATATCCCTGCGGCCCAGCGGCGTCCTCCGTCCCTTGGCACCCTCGGGCCAAGAACCTGGGTCCAGGTGCCACCCCCCCCCCCCCCTTCCAGTAACCGATCCCTTGTATCCCCGCCATTCTGATCTGCCCAGACCCGACCTAGCCCTCAGCCCTCTGAGTCCTCCACCCTAATCTTGAGGCTTCCGTCCCCGCCCCCCAAGTCCCTGCAGTCCTCCGATCTGTTTAGCCCAGGCCAACCCCCCACCCTCGTGTCGGTCCTGACAGCCCCGGCTTTGGCCACCCAGTGCATTGCTCTCTCCGGGACAGGCAGGCTCTGCGCGCCCGGCGAAGGTCAGCGCCCATCAGCAGCGACCACAGAGCTACGGCGGGCGGCCCCGGGCATGTATGCCCCCGGAGGCTCTGGGCTGCCCGGCGGGCGCCGGCGGAGGAGCCCGGGGGGCAGCACTCTGCCCAAGCAGCCCGAGCGGAGCCTGGCTTCGGCCCTGCCTGGTGCCCTGTCCATCACAGCGCTATGCACTGCTCTCGCGGAGCCCGCCTGGTTGCACATCCATGGAGGCACCTGTTCCCGCCAGGAGTTGGGGGTCTCAGATGTGCTGGGCTACGTGCACCCGGACCTGCTAAAAGGTGAGGTTACTGCGCTCTTGCCCTCCAGGCCTGGGGGCATTGCAGACTGAGGGATTAATCGAAGCAGAGGTAGCCAAGGGTGAGGGGAAACATTTGATTCGGGAGGCGGGGAGCACTTGGTTTAGGGAAAGAGCCCTGGTGTTTATGCCCACCAGGTGGCTCTGTTAGGGGTCCAGCCCTTTCATTAATTCTGATGTTATTCACCGAGGCACCTACTCACAGTCATGCTAATCCGGACTGCTGCTATTTTAGGATTCTGCCAGAAGGGCGCTGTATATAGAGAAAAGATAAGGGTGCTATGTATCACACACAATTAGCTCTCCCCTTCTTAGGAACCTGTAGAATAAAGGAAAACTTGCTTTGAAGTAGCCTGATTAATGAGGAAAAAGGAATCTTTAATATTACTAGATTTTAAAAGATATTTTAGTATTCAAAGATAGTATTAGAGAAAAAGGTGAGAGGGTCTAAGGACATCAGAAGTCAGTAATATGGTCACATTCAGTAACTGAAATTTGGCTGTTAGAAGCCTTAATAAGTATGCCTGACTGAGGTAAGATTGCTTTGTTCTACATTATGCTTCCCAGCCAGGTAGGCAGAAGAAAGTCCTGTTCTGGCTTCTAAATGAAGAGGCAGTCCAGAGCCTAGAGCACCACCGTTCTAGGGATCCCCATAGCTCTCTTGGTCCCATCTTGTCTCTGGGAGTGAGGGTAAAGGCACAAAGATGTGAGAACAGCCTGCTCAATCTGGGTATTTTGGGTTTTTTTTTTTTTTTCTGTGTATGTGCCAGTCCTGGAGTTTGGACTCACAGCCTGGGCACTCTGTCCCATAGCTTCTTTTTTTTCGCCCCCCCCCCCCCCTCAGTCATGGGGCTTGAACTCTGGGCCTCAGCACTGTCCCTCAGCTCTTCAGCTCAAGGCGAGCACTCTACCACTTGAGCCACAGCACCACTTCCAGTTTTCTGAGTGGTTTATTGGAGATAAGTCTCAGGGAATTTCCTGCTTGGGCTGGCTTTGAACTGTGATCCTCAGATCTCAGCCTCCTGAGTAGCTAGGATTACAGGTGTGAGCATCAGGAGCCTGGGTGTCCCATAGCTTCTTCGCTCAAGGCTCTACCACTTGAGCCAGTGTTGGAGATAAGAGTCTCACAGACTTTCCTGCCTGAGTTGGTTTTGAACTGGGGTCCTCAGATCTTAGCCTCCTGAATAGCTAGCATTACAGGCATGAGTGAGTCATTGGTGCCTAGTTACAGTCTGGTTTTTAACCTAAAAATCATTAGTGGACCTCAAACAATCCTTAGTAACAGCATATTTCATCACCCTCAAAGGGCTTTTGAATCTTTCTTGGAGGTGTTTGTTTTTCCTTTGCCACTCTGGCTATGATGCATTCCAGATGTCTGCTGCCCTTTATATCAGAAACCTTTCATGTTAGATATTTGCATTCTTGTTTCTTGAAGAATTTGGGTCCTGGGATTTGGTGTAAACCCTTTGTGTATTGGGTCATATGCCAGTTCTGCAATTGTTGGCTGAAAAGCCCTAGCATGTGGTCTAGCATTCTCTTCCTGTTTTGCTTTTCTTTTGAGTTTTAGAGGCTTTAAGATGATTTTATAGGCAATAGGATAGGGGCTTCTGGTTTGTTTCCCAATTTCACCCTCATGATGTATTGGCCGAGTTGGCACTCTAAAACTGAAGTTATACATAAAACCTAAGGCTTGTGATATACAGCTTTTTTCTTGTCATGTAGCTGATATAGAAAGACCATCAAGTTTGAGTATCTGGATGGCTTATCTCTCAGCATATTACCCAATATTTGCCTTCTTGGAGGTGGACCTGTCATCTTTCTGCCACTTCATTTAGGCCTTTTGCATTTGATCCCATGTTGTTGCAGTGTTTCAAGAGTTTAGTGTCACACACAAACTGAGAGAGAATTCATGATGCTTCCTTTTTGCTAGTAATTCCTGGGGTAGAAGGGTTCATATAATTCACATGACAGAAGGAGAGGCATGCTTGCCTTGAGCTGAAGAGCTGAGTAACAGTGGAACAGCATCCAGGCCCAGAGTCCAAGCCCCATAACTGACCAAAAAAAAAAGTACATTTCTTAGCCAGGTGCTGGTGGCTCATGCCTATAATCCTAGCTACTTAGAAGGCTGATATCTCAGGGTCACGGTTCAAAGGCAGCCTGGGCAGGAAAGTCTGTGAGACTATTATTTCCAACAAACGAGCAGAAAACCAGAAGTGGTGCTGTGGCTCAAGTGGTAGAGCTGCTAGCCTTGAGCTGATGAACTGAGGGACAGTGCCTGGGCCCAAAGTTCAAGCCCCACGACTGACCAAAAAAAAAAAAAAGAAGAGGCAATCTGACTCTGCATCCTTACTTCAAAGATCCAGGAACTAGGAACCTGAAAAATGATTTTCAATAACAAGGCTTCCCAGCTGGTGGCATTGCTGAGGTTGCCTTCTATCTGTTGATGCCAGTATAAAATGGTATAGTCTCTGCATAGACTTTATCCTTTGTATTACATCACCTGTTGTAAAGAATAATCTCATAGGGTCTGGGAAGGTGGCTTAGTGGCAAAATGCTTGCCTAGCATGCATGAAGCTCTGGGTTCGATTCTTCAGTACCACATAAACAGAAAAAGCTTGAAGTGATACTGTGGCTCAAGTGTTAGTGCTAACCTTGAGCAAAAGAAGCTCAGGGACAGTGACCAGGACTGCCCCCCCCCCAAAAAAAAAGTAAATAAATAAAAAATAAATAAAAACTTAAAAAAAAGAATAGCCTCATAGCTTGGTGCTGGTGTCTCATTCCTATAATCCTAGAGACTTAGGTAGGCTGAGATCTAAGGATCCAGGTTCAAAGCCAGCCGAGGCAGTAGTCTTTGTTACCCATTTCTCCAGTTAGCCACCAAAAAACTGGAAGTGGAGCTGTGGCTCAAGTAGTAGAGCACTAACCTTGAGCAAAAGAACTCAGCACCCAGGCCCTGAGTTCAAGACCCAGTACCAGCAGAAAAAAAAGAAAAGAAAAAGAAAGATCCTTGTCCAAGCATGTTCAACTTAAGTTCTTACTGAACATTCTTTGCTCACATATATATTTATCCCTACAAATTTTTTCAAACCAGATTTTGTCTTTTTCTAAAGCATGTTATCTTAGCCTTTACATAGCATTTGCTTTGTTTTTAGAGATTTTAGCTCATACAGTTTTTTTGCCAGTCTTGGAGCTTGAACTGAGGGCCTGGGCTCTGTCCCTGAGCTTCTTTAGCTCCAGGCTAGCACTCTACCACTGAGCCACAGCATCCCTTCTGGCTTTTTCTGTTTATGTGGTACTGAGGAATTGAACTCAGGGTTTCATGCATGCTAGGCAAGCACTCCACCACTAAACCACCTTCCCAGCCCCCCATGTATAGTTTGTGATAGCATGGACCCATGGATATCACAAAGCCTAATAGGCCTTAGTTAACCATCACAGAGGTGTGGAATCAGGAGCTCCCTGATTGCTTCTTCTCTCCCTTTTTCCATCATTGGTTGGTTTTTTGGCACCCAGACATATGGTATCTTGTGAGGTTGTGCTGGTCATCAGGGCTAACAGATGTCCTCACCTGGAATCCTGGGATATTGCCCATTTCAGAAGGGAGTAGAGCTGTGTGGTACAGATGTGTATACAGATACTTCTAGAAGGAGAGCATATTCTGTCAAGTCTCTGCAGGTGACTAAGTAGGGTGGGCCAGAAGTCTCTGGAGCAGTCTTACCATTTCTTAGCACCTGCTTGTGTGTAAGGCATCGGAATTATGCTAAACACACTCAATACCTGATTTTAGGTTCTCCTGAAGAACACCTTCCCCACCCCCCAATCCTGGGGCTTAAACTCAGTGCCTGGGCTCTGTCCCCAAGCCTCTTTGTGCTCAGGAAGAGCTAGCACTCTACTACTTGAGCCACAGCACCACTTCAGCTTTTTCTGAGTGGTTTATGGGAGATAAGAGTGTCACGCAGTTTTTTGCCCTGGCTGGCTTTGAACCGTGATCCTCAGATCTCAGCTGCCTGCGTAGCTAGGATTACAGATGTGTACTTGGCATGTATAGTACTATTAGAAGTTATACTTTATAAAGCTCTCAGCATGAGAAATCAGGAAATTTGCTCAGGGATACACAACAATCCTAGTGACATTGATTCTGAAGTCCATGGCTCATAATAAGACCACTGTACCTTAGTGAATTCCAGGTTTCTTTTTCTTTCAATCACAGCTGTGCAAGATATCATAACCCTTGCTTTTTTTCTTTTTTTTTTTTGTTCTGGGACCCAGGACCAAGGCTTGAACTTAGGGCATCAGGTACTCACTCACCTGTTTTTTTTTTGCTTGAAGCTGGCACTTTGCCACTTGTTCCATACTTCAGTCTGTTTTAATTGGATATAGTCTCTTGGACTTTTCGACCTTCACTGGTTTTGAACTGCATTCCACATATCTCAGCTTCATGAGTAACTAGAACTACAGATGCAAACCAGTGGTGCCCAGCTTCTATTTACTTTTTATCCCACACTGTGTCAATTATTAGGCTCAAGTTGGTGATTCTGAGGGAAAGCCATTCATCCTTCTACCGCCAGGCATAGAGCCTCAGAAGCTTTAGCAAATACAGCCAGTTCAACAAGTTCTCAATTCTTCCACTTCCTCAGTGGCTGCCTGTTTTCTCTCACCTCTTCAACCTGAGCCAAGGTCCAGAGAAATCCTCAGGCCTTTTGTGGCCCTTGGAAAGGGATCTTCAAGACCTTCTACCATACCAATGTAGCCAGCAAAGGGAGCTCTGCCAACAGTCTCAGGAAGCATCTTTGGAGAATGAGGAAGTTTGGGGTTTGAAGTTGGGTAAATAATGATTAATAACAGTCACTGGAAGATCAAGGGCCTTCCAGAGAGGGCTTGTGACATAGGAAGTGTCACATGTATTCCAGATTATCCAGTCTTGAGAGGAGAGGGAGATTGTCCTCAGGCAGCTGGGTTAGCACCATTGATACCTATAGGATG